GACTTGGAAGAAATCTTGAGATTTTCAACAGTTTGCTATTGGTTATGGTATAATAATTCTGAAAGTATTCTTGCGTAATGTATGCTAGAACAAATAAGCAAATATACTGATGGTGGAAACTAGCTTACATACTATATGGGAAAGGAGATACAAAGTGGGCCATGGGAATACAAAAATGCAATAGTCATGGTATTGGATTTGAATTAGTTATCAGTATGAACTCATGACTTAAAGAAAACCTACACAGACATATTTCCCATCTCTATCCACTAAGCAGGATCTTGATTTCTAAGTGTTATTCTTCACTAAAATGAGCCAGGGTTCTGGGGGAAATTCCAAGTCCAAGGTTTGTACAAGGTGCTTCTTTGTGAATTATGAACAGTGTTTATACCAGAAAACAAGGGTACCCAGGGACTAACTGGTAATGCCAAGAATATGTTGGGTATTACCCATTGGTTTAAAGGGCTCCCACTGGAAAATTCTGGAACAGCTGAATATCAAAAAACAAAAACAAACAAAAAACCTAAGCAACAAACTCCTCAAGAATTAACAGACCAATACTACTTTGAATTCTTAAAAATTCCATTAGGCTAGGGGCTGGGGAACTGGAGAGATGGCTCAGTGGTTAAGAACATTGGATGCTCTTGCCAAGGACCTGGGCTTGATTCCCAGGACCCACATGGCAGCTAACAACTATCTGTAACTCAAGTTCTAGGGCATCAGGATGCCCTTATCTGGCCTCTGTGGACATTGCATGCATATGGTACACTTATATACGTGCAGGCAAGACACTCATACACATAAAAAAATTTAAATTCCATTAGTCCATAGTGGTTCACACAAAAAAACATAATAGGACAAAGGAGAGGTGGTCCTTCCAAAGAATGCTATTAATCACATAGATAAGATGACTGAGTTAGAAAATCACCACTTTACAACCAGCATAGCAAGGTTATCACAGAAAAGAACAGTCATGTGGCCTCAAAGATTGCACTCCAAAAAATTATTACAGAGAAAAAAAATGCACCTGTAAAATACAGAGACCTTGTGGCATCACCTAGTTAACCAAATTGAGCATCACCAAACTGACATTATGTGACTAAAGAAATGATGTAATACTGTCTTTAAATACTTGGAGCAAAAATGTTTAATTTTAATGTAATCATGAAGAAGCAGGCAAATCAGGATCACTATGTAAACAAGACTACCTGGATCATCAAAAAATAGTATTATGAAAGACTTTTAAAAAAGGAAGAGGCAGCCAGGCATGGTGGCACATGCCTTTAATCCCAGCACTTGGGAGGCAGAGGCAGGCGTATCTCTGTGAGTTTGAGGCCAGCCTAGTCTGGTCTACATAGCGAGTTCTAGGCCAGCTGGGAGACTCTATCTCAAAAAGATTAAAAAAAAAAAAGGAAGTGGCTATGTACTCTGGAAATCAGTGATCAGTGTGGAGATTTCTCAAAAACCTGAAAGAGCTACTATAGGGGCCCAGCTATCCCACTCCTGGGCACATACCCAAGGAGTCGACATCCTATCATGGAGGTGTGCACATCCATGTTACTGCTTCGCCATTCACATTAGCAAGGAAATGAACACAGCCTAAATGTCCATCAACAATGAACAGAAAATGAAAATGTGCTGCATATACACAACAGAATTTTATTCATCCATAAAGAAAAATGAAATGATGAATTTACAGGAAAATGGATCTGGAAAACATATACTAAGTGAGGTAACCCAGGCTCAGAAGGATAAGTACCACGTTTTCTCTTATGTGCAGATCCTAGTTTTTGTTCTGTTTTCTTTTCATTTATTATTATTAATAATAATACTATTATTAGTGTTTGTGTGTATGTGTGTGATGTGTGTCTATGGGTGCTTGTGTCACAGCATGTGTGTGGAGGTCAGAGAACAACTGTGTGGTCAGTTCTTTCCTTCTGTCTTTACATGGGTTCTGGGGATCAAACTCAGGTCACCATGCTTGTGAGGCAAGTACCTTTACCTGCTAGACATTTCACTGGCCCCTTAGTTTCTAGCTGTTAAACATGGATCTAGGTGAGAATAAATGTGGGTAAAATCCGGGAAATTAGAAAGGGGCCCATGAGACTGGAAAAACAAGAGGCTTTAAGGGAGGGAGGTGGGGACAGTGACAGAACACATGTGATATGAAGACAGAAGAGGGAATACTGGGAGGGAAGGCACAGCAGAGAATGGGAAGGCAGAGGGATGGGGCTGAGAATCAACCTAAACTATGTATGAAAATGCCAAAAGGAATCCTGGTATTTTGTAAACAAGCAAGCAAACAAACAAGAAGAAAAAGGAGACCATAGCACTCAATCAAAGAAAAGAGGCCAGGGAACAGGTGTATATCAAAAGAAACTAAAGACAGGAGATACACAGGTGGCAGGACAGGAATTCCTGATTACATCCTGGACTGGGGAGAAAAATATCTATAAGGCATATTTTTGGGACTTTCAAATAAATAAATGATAATGACTGCAGATGAAAAACATATCAGTGTTCCATCTATTGGAATTGCTACTTTTTTACAGGTTTGAACTCTCAAGATCAAGTTACTGTGGAGGAAAGAACAGAGGACTAACATAATAAAAAAGAGAATGAACTAGCTCTCTGCATACTCATTAAGCACTTTTTTTTTTTCAAGGTTTTTGAGACAGGAGCTCACTGAGTAGCCTAGGCTGGCTTTGAACTCACGGTCTTCCTGCTCAGACTCTTGAGTGCTAAGATTACGGGTGTGTGTCACCACTCCCAGCTTAGAATGCTCTTCAAGTTATAATGACAAGCGAAAAATGCTACGCACAAATGATATGGACAGTCTTACCATTTATACTGAAAAATGAACTTACAAAACCCCAACACAATCCTTTTTTTTTCACTGCTGGGGATTAAACTCAGGACCTTGTGCATGCTGGGCAAACGCTTTATCACTGAGTTGCCTCCCTAGTTCTTGAAATTTTTAAAAAAATTTATTTGCTTTTACTTTTATGTGCTTAGTGTTTGCCTGCATGTATCCAAGTGCACAATGTCCATGCAATGCCTGCAGAGGTGGCACTGTAGAAGATTTTGGATCCCCTGGAATTGGGGTTACTGACAGCTATTAGCCACCATGTAGGTGCTGAGAACTGAATCTGGGTCCTCTGCAAAAGCAGCCAGTGTTCTTAACAGCTAAGCCGTCTCTCCAGCCATGAAAAGAAATTTTTATATTGACTTTATGTGCAAAAATCCCCCTCTCCTCTGTAAACAAACAGAATACCTAGAACAACTATTTCTGGGATAAACCAGAATTTTATTAAAAAATAAAATATTAGAAATTATTTTAAAATCCAGGCTTTGTCCTGGAGATTTATTAGCTGACTTCTTATCTGGCAGAGATTTCTAAAGAACAGTGATTCACAGGCATAAGCAAATGGCAGTGGTTGCTCCTGGGGAGATAGAAGATTTGAGTGAGTGTGGTATTCAGGGGAGACTTTTGCCTGTACATAAGAGATAAAGGGGTTTGTTGTTAAATTAGAGTAAAAAACCTCAAAAACTAAGGGAGTCTGAAAAGTATGTTTTTTTTAAAAAATTCAATTTTATGTTTTTTTATTTTATGTGTATGAGTGTATTGCCTGCATGTATGTGAGTGCCCCTGTGTTGTGCAATGCCACAGAGGTCAGAAGAGGGCTTCGGATTCCCCTGGAATTGGAGTTAAGACAGTTCATAGGCACCATGTGGGTGCTAGGAACTGAACCCAGGTCCTTTGTAAGAACACTCAGTGCTCTTAACCGCCGAGCCATCACTCCAGCCCCTGAAAAGTCTGTTTTTAAGGGGCTATGACGCCTGCTTACACATGGGGAGGTGAAACTGGAATAGTGAAGCCCCAGAGAGGGTCTAAGAGACGGGACCTATAGATCTTAGGATAAAATGTGCAAGACATATGGAAAGGCCTAAAAGTGATACTTAGAAACTCTTCCTCAAGACACTTTTTTTTTTGGTCTTTTTGAGACAGGGTCTCCCTGTAGCTGCAGGTGGCCTGGATTCGCTACAGAAACCAGACTGGCCTCAACTCACAGAGATCCACCTGCCTCTGCCTCCTAAGGGCTGGGATTAAAGGCATGTGCCACCACGCCCAGCTCCTGAAGACAATTCTAAGGAAAGAGCCAACAGCTCCAAGTTCTGGACCTGCTGGACCAGCATTTGCAAAGAGTGACTTGTGGTGATTGAAAACTAAGTACCAGCAGAGTTAGGATATAGACTCTTGAAGTACAAAGAAAATCATTTGCTGGTTTTTGTCTCACCTGGACTAGGGCCTTCTAAAATTTCTTTTATCACCATCCATGGTTCTTCTAAGATGGGAATCACAGTTGGTCTGTACACGCTCAGTCCTGTTTAAGAGGGATATAATAAATTTATCTTACTACCTGATAGACATGGGCCTCTATAGGGAAACAATAGTTTAATGGTGTCAGCCTTTCCAGGTAGGCAAACATTTTCTAGTAATATTCAAGAAGATATTCACCTGGAGAGCCTGGAGAAGAGTTCCCCTTTAGAGCAGCCAAGAAAGGGCAAAGCAGAATCCGGCAGTGCCAAGGGGCAGCACTGTGAAGCTGCTCACCAGGATTCTTCTCCTTTTCTGGTCTTTTTGAGACAGGGTTTCCCTGTAGCCCCAGCTGGCCTGGAACCTGCTATTTAGACCAGGCTGGCCTCGATCTCATAGTGATCCACCTGCTCTGCTGGGATTAAAGTCGAGTACCACCATGCCTGGCATGCACACCATGATTCTTAATGGTCTTTCAATCCTGCAGCCTTTCACTTGGGCAAACAAGCAGATTACAGCTATTTTTGTGCCTGAATGAGAACACTCATCTCAAGACCTTATTTTCAGTCAAGAACTTCAGAAACCTAACCCGGTCTTAGCAAGTAGGGGTAGAAAGGTACTTTGGCAGACCTTTTGAGAAGAGAGATATAGATAGTCCTTACCTAGAGAAACCATGTTCCAGTAGTTCTGTAAAGTCACAGTCTTATACAGTTCCTTCTGAACAGGGCGCATTAGTTCCCAGTCCTCTTGGGTGATGTCCACAGCTACATCTTTGAATGTCATTGATTCCTAAAATATCAAATATAACTTAACTTGGGCCAAGACCTACTAGGAAGGGGACAGTGCTCACACTGTATATGTGTAGTGGATGGAAGTCACAGAATCTTAAGTTTTAGGACTTTAAAAGTTGTAGAGTGAAAACCTTCACCTTGCTGGGTGTGGCAGTTCACACTTGTTGTACCAGTACTCAACAGACTGGGACAGGAGATCCTAAGTTTCATGCCAGCCTGGGCTACACAGTGAGTTCAAGCCCGAGCTATGTGGTTAACACCCTGCTTCTAACCAACCAATCAATCAACCAAAGACAGACAAACCCTCATGCAATTTATGGATCCAGAGCACCCTTCAATGGTCCTTAAAGGGAAATTTGAAAATAATGTAGAATTCATTTGGCACTAGCACAGGCATTGGTGGCTCCATCTTAAAGAAGAGGGCTTGGCTGTAGCTCAGTGGTAGAGAACTTGTCTTATGTACTCTAGGAACAAAAGGCTTTATAGTGCGTGTGTGTGTGTGTGTGTGTGTGTGTGTGTGTGTGCATGCCTGTGTCATGATGTGTGGATGTGGTGTGTGTGGAGATCAGAAGACAACGACAGGTGTCAGCCCTCACCTTCCACCTTGTTTGAGACAGGGTCTCTTGTTCGATGCTGCACATAGCAGGCAGCAAGGCAGAGTAGCAGAGCTCTGGGATTATGGATGCACATGACCACATCTAGCTTTATGTGGGTTCTGGGGATCTGGGCTCAGGTCCTCATGCTTGTGTGGCGAGCACTCGACCCACTAAATCATTGCCTCAGCCCAGAAGAAAAGCTAATTTTAAACTACACATAGATGAAAGAGTTGGTTTTGCCTTAAGAATAAATTTATCATAATGAAAATTTCACATGTTCTATAATAAAATGCAGAGCTTTCTCTCTTCAGTCCCTGTTATCCTTATTCCTTTTTATTTAAAAAAAAGCCCCACACTGTTGAAATGCTGCACTTTCAGATGTACTCACAACCTTTTTTGTTGTTGAATAAATTGATTATGGGGGCTAGGAGATGGCTCAGTGGTTAAGAACACCGGCTGTTCTTGCAGAGGACCCACATGGTGGCTAACCATCTGTAACTTCAGTTCCAGGGGATTTGATGCCCTCTTCTGACCTCTGTGGGCAATGCATGACATGGGTGCACTTACACACATGCAGGCAATATACTCATACACATAAAATCTTAAAAAATAAAAGATTACTCTCACATGCTCATTTTCACATAATTGTCAGTAGTCAGTAGATCTAAAAAAAAAATCACATTTTCTTAAGTCAAAGTCTCAGTATGTAGCCCATGCTGGCATTGAATTCATGATATTACTGCCTTGACCCTGCCCAGTTGAAAAGATAATTTGAGACAGTAAAATCACATTAAGCTTATAATTTAGGGAAGAATGACAGCTTTATAATTATTCAATGTTTCTTTTATGTCTTATAAAATGACACAGGACATACAATGCTTAGTGCTAGATATTTTAAGTTTTTTTTCTGGCATGCATGTGTGTTTTTAGTACTGGCTAAAGAATCTTTATTTCATTTTGTCTTACAATCTTTACATAAAATTGAGATCCATTTTGCATGTCTCCTTCCTTCCTTCCTTCCTTCCTTCCTTCCTTCCTTCCTTCCTTCCCTCCCTCCCTCCCTTCCTTCCCTCCTTCCTTTCTTCCTTCCTGTCTTTTTCTACTGTGCTTTGCTGCCTGCCATGTGCAGCATCGAACAAGAGACCCTTGTCTCAAACAAGGTGGAAGGTGAGGCACCTAATGTTGTCTTCTGATCTCCACACACACCACACCCACACATCATGACACAGGCATACACACACACCACACACACACAACACACACACACACACACACACACACACACACACACACACACTATAAAGCCTTTTGTTCCTAGAGTACATAAGACAAGTTCTCTACCACTGAGCTACAGCCCAGCCCTTTTCTTTAAGATGGAGTCACCATCTTTTTGAGAGTCTCCTTATAGCTCCAGGTGACCTGGAACTCACTATGTAGACCAGGCTGGCCTTGAACTCACAGAGATCCACTTGCCTCTGACTCCTGAGTGCTGGGACTAAAGGTATGCGCCACCACACCCTGTGCATGCATATCATGTTTTTTTTTTCCTTCCTTCCCTCCCTCCCTCCCTCCCCCCCTCGTCTTTTTGAGATAGCCCCAGGTAACCTGGAACTATGTAGACCAGGCTGGCCTTGAACTTAGACAGATCACTTGCCTCTGCCTCCCAAGTGCTAGGACTAAAGGTGTGTGCCACCATACCTGGTGCATGTCATTTTCTGTGACAGTCATTTTTACTCAAACTTTCTCTTATTTCTAACATATTTCCCCTTGATTTTCATGGGTTTTGCATTGTATCATCTATAAATAATCATGCTACTTTAGTTATCAAAGGCTTTCCAATTTCAAGCCATACAAGTTTTTCAGCTGGCCTGGAACTTGCTATTTAAACCAGAATGGCCTTGATCTCACAGATATCCACCTGTCTCTGCCTCCTGAGTGCTTGGATTAAAGGTCTGTACCACAATGCCCATAAAATACTTCTCTTAATGCTGCTTGATCTGATATTTATTCCTTAAAACAAGAGACTAACAATCAAAGAGTATATCATAGGACATATGACCTTTACTTGTTGATGAAGAAAAATATTAGTAACTATTATTTGCATTTGTTGATTACTTAACTGTAATCTAGGTTAAGAACAACTACAAAACCTCATAATATTTAGTCTTCATAATCTAAGAGGCAAATTATACTTACTGGAGCTGAACAACTAAGGCTAAAAGCAGTTAAGAATCTTGTCCCAAATTATAGATTCAATGGCAGAGCCAGGAGCCCAAACCTGGGTCTTGCCTGGCTGCAGAAGTCAATCTCAACTTTTACACAATATTGCTCACTTAAAGTCAGAATGTGAGGAAACACATAGCAAAGGAAGGCAACAGAGGCACAAGTGCTTACCAAGAGAAACTGATGCCTTGGCCTTAGCTAGGGCTCTTGAGGGCTCTGTAGTTACAGGTCCAGGATAAAACATATCCTCACACACTAAGAAGCCACTTTAAAATCATAAAAGAAAATCAAACTCACTTTAGTCACCAAGTCACTGAGCCGCTCTACCTGGAAAGCATGTTTGGGCTGTTCCTCTGGAATCTCTTGGGAAAGGGCAGAATTCTGAGGTGCTGGGGAAGACAATGATGGTTAGTCTGCATGCACAGCCTAGGAATCACTTTACCAGACATGTCTATACTTTCTTAAAGTGAGAAGTCAAAAGAAAACTGAAAACTTTACTTATACTTCAGAGTCAGAGGGAAAGGCCAAGGGCTTGTCCAAAGACATCAGCACAGACTTCAGAAAGAAGCCTGCTTTGGGACTAAGTTTATGCAGAAAATTCATAATTCTCTATAGTATGTTTTTGGAGGCACTGGGGGATCAAACCCAGAACCGTGTGCACGTGAAGCAAGCGCACTCCACCATCAAGCTATATCTTCCAACTCTAATCTTTGATGCAAAGTTGTGAGTTGTCTCAATACACGAATGTTCTTTGGACACATATCATTTTGAAGCATATTACTGTAAAATTGTACTCAGAGAGCCATGAGACAAATGGTCCAGAGCTCACAGTGGGCTCACGATGGCTCATTTCGTTGTGTCTGGTCATTCTTTCATGCCATTTCTCCTTTGGGATGACAGAAGGACTCTGGTCCCAAGCACTCTGGGAGCACAATGCATGATGGACCTCATGTTACATACAGCTCATTGGTATTCACTGACCTTTATTCTCCCCAATTTCTCTGAAGGAGGCTCTGAGGTGCTAGGTGTCTTCTCTAACCACCCAGGGATTCTACCCCCTGTGCTTGACATAAATCTCACCTTCCTCTTCTAGAATTTGAGTCAAATCCTCCACCAGAGTCACCACTTCCTCACTGCTCTCTGGATACTGAGACTTTACCCAAGTCCTAACCTCCCCAGGCAGGATGGTCAGGAATTGCTCCAGCACCAGCAACTCAAGGATTTGTTCCTTGGAGTGAACCTCAGGTCTCAACCACTTAAGGCAGAGCTCTCGGAGTTGACTTAATGCTTTCCGTGGACCAGCCATGTCTGGGTATGGAAAATTTCTAAAATTCTGTCGACAGGTCTCAGTGTCACGCAAGAGTCTTGAAGTGAGCATTTGCTTCTCAACACTGCAGGGTCCACTTTGAACCTTGTCTTGTTTCCACATTAGAAGGACTTGGGAGCGCGAAGAACTGGTCATCCTACTTCTTGAGGCTAACATTGCTATACACAGGAGAATCAATCTGGCAATATCCTTTATTTCTCCAGTATTGAGCCAACTGCTTGAAGTTTCACGCTACAGTCACAAAACACTTTTTTTTTTTTTTTTTTTTTTTTTTTTTTTAAATCAAGGGCTGATGTAGCCAGGGCCAGAACAGAACCAAGGTAGAATTTGCAGCTTGTAACAAATTCTGAGCCCAGAACTTGCAAGGATGAGTAAGGGTCCCTGAAACACAAGAATGAACCATAAGGTCAAGAATTCCTGGGGTACTCTGCTACACATCGCGCACACACAGAAAGCAGACCCTTCAGCATGCACAGATAAGTGCACAGATTTACCTAGTCTATCCCTACATCCTTGGCCTTGGAACTGCAATCAGCTTAGTGGTAGTGTATGTGTGTGGTGTGTGTGTGTGTTTGTGTAGTAGCTACCATAAAAATATGGTGACAGAAACAATAATTATGTGCAAAATATTAACTTCTAAATTGTTAAAAATTAATCACGTTATAGAAGAAAAAGTTTCAGTATTTTAGTCACTGATGTTGCAGAAGCTCCAATGGCTGAACTGGTTCTCAGCAAAAGCTCCACATCCATTACTGGGGCAAACTGGGAGGTTCCCAAGAACCTCGTGGGGGTGGGGCTGAGGCAACCTATCTACCTGCCTCTCATACTCTAGCTTTGCACTATCAGAGCTGGGAAGACAAGACCGCTGGACTGTGATTGGAAGCTGTTCTTTCAGTGCTTCTACAAGAGACGGTTCCTCAAGGATAAATCGAAACCGGGATTCCCAAAGACAACCTCCGAAGCACGCACGAAAAACCCCTCATCCTCTTGTCCCGGGGCTCCACCTCTGGGACCTGCGCATCCGCTGCCGTGCCAGCAGCGCCAGCGGTTTATCAGGCCCGGGTGGGGGGAGATGCACCGGCCTCGTGTCCAGTCACCTCCCTTTCCCGGCCGGTCTGGGGCAGCGGGAAAGTCGGGACCGCACGACGCGCACCGCTGGGGCTGGGCCCGCACGGCAGCCTCCGCCCCGGCCTCCCGCATGCGGTGAGCACTGCCTGGGGCACGCACGGCCCGGCCGGCCCGAGCGGACACTCGCGCCCGGGACATCAGTACCTGTCGCTGGGACCCGGCCGCGCAGCTCGAGCGGCCCCGGGCAACAATGGCGACGGTGTCCCTGGCGCCTGCGTGGCGGACTCGGCCCTGAGGGGCACAGGGACCTCTGGTTCCGCCACTTGCCTCTCCGGGAGGGGCCGGGAGCCGTCAGGACCCGCCCGCCCCAGCTCGGTCCCCGAGAAGCCCGGGCCGGAACCCCCAGCGCCTAGGCTTCGCAACGACCTCGCCTCGGCGCCACTGCGCATGTGCGCCCGGAGAACGCTGCGCGCTGGCTGAGCCAATAGGAACTCGAACTTCTGCCTCCCCGTCCTGAGCCCCTGGGCCCTGGACCTGTCTCCATGGCAACCTCCTCCACCCATCAGTATGACTTGCTTGTTAGCCTGCAAGGTTTTGAAGGGAACTTTAAAGTTTCTCTGGGCAGAGACAGGCCTAGCAGATAACTTGGACATCGGGGAAGTATCGGAAGCTGGCAAAGTGTTTGGACAGTGAAGCTCCATGCTAATTATCCAGAGGTAGATGGATGGGGAAGATGTGGGCTTACAGGGCTACAAAGCTGTTTCGGAGTTTTACTGTGCATAAACACATAATGGCTCCGATTCTCTTTTCAAGAATCTGACACTGAAACTTTCAGATTGGAAAAAGAGCCACATGTTATTTATGAGATGCAAAACAAAAATACAAAAGGTGTTGTAAAATAAAGTAACATATTTCATGTGTTTCTGTTACAAACTTCCCTGTTAACAAACCACCTCTAAACATAGTAGTTTTAAAGAACACTCGCTTTATTATGATCTTGGATTCTGTGGGTCAGGAATTTGGAGGGGGAGTGGCCTGGGTGGCTCTTCTCTGTCCCATTGTGTCTGTAGCCTCACGAGATGATTCCATGCCTGAGGGTCCAATTCCAAGATGGCCCTCTCACCATATGGCTAGTGCTTAGGATGAGATGGCTTAAAGATGGGTTCAGCTTGGGTTTAACAAGTGTCTAAATGTGGTCCCTTCAACATAAAGGATTCAAGGAAGTTGGACTTACTACATGGGGGCTCTGGGCTTCCAGAGTGAGTGTTCCAGTGAACAAGGAAGTAGCCTTATGGCCAGTTTTTATATAGCTTGGAAGTTACCTAGCACCAGTTCTGTCACACTCTTAGTCAAAGAAGTCACAAGCCACAGAATCAAATGGAGGCAGATACAGACCTCATGGGAGGGGGTGTCAAAGAGTTTGAATATCACTGTATGGGATGTTTTTAACAAAGTTGGGAGTGTGCCATCTTTTGGTGTACCCTCATGGCTATGCCTCACCTGTGATTTGAGTGAACACTAATGTAGGTGTTGCTGCATGGAAATTATGTAGCTGTGGGTGATTAAAGTCCACAAACTCAATTAAACTAAGTATAGGATGAAATCCTAGTTCATTTGAGTGGGCTTGATTTAATCAGTTAAAAGTTTGTAAAATCAGGGCTGGAGAGATGGCTGGTTGTTCTTGCAGAAGACCCGGGTTTGAATCCCAGCACCCACATGGCAGGTAACAGCTGTCTGTAACTCCAATCCCAGGGGATCTTACAGCCTCTTCTGACCTCTGTAGGCATTGCATAACATGGGTGCACTTACCTACATGCAGGCAATACACGCATATACATAAAATAAAAATAATGAAAAAAATTTTAAAAGTTTATAAAATCAGAACCAAGGCCACCCTAATGCATAAACTCCATGTTTTCTATGCGTTCCATCCTGTCTTTCCTCATGGACTACTCTATGGAGGTTTTTTTTTTTTTTTTTTTTTTTTTTTTTTTTTTTTTTTGCTTTATTTTTATTTTTTTGAGACAGAGTCTTGCTATGTAGACCAGGCTGGTGGTGATCCTCCTGACTTTGCCTCCAAAATGCTGGGATCATAAAAGTGTACCACCATGCCTGGTTTGTGCCATATGGACTTTAACTTCACTTAGTCATACCCTCAATTGAGTAGACCAATTATATGCAATACATTTTCTTATATAACTTACTGGTTCTGATTCTCTTGACTGAACATGATTGATACAATTCGTAATCCTAATGTCTGATAACATGGGATTTATGAGTATAAAATAGCAAATTTTTATTTGTAAAAAATAAAAATTGAGATGCCAACTTGCTGCCTTCCATTTTGAGCAGTTGTGCTGGGCCCTGTTGAGTTTATCTGAGACCCACATCACAGCTTATTGCCAGCTCCCTCAGCAGTTTCTCCTTGCAGATAAACCTTCAAGAATAGGCTGAACAATAAGACTTCCCCACTTCAGAAGAGACGTCCAAACAAAAATTGTGCAAACTGCAAACAAGAGGAACACGACTCCTCCAAAAGAACAGCTACCAAACTCTGGACTAGGTAAAATACCAGATTAAGGTTTCAACCATTTTTTGGCAAAAATCATCGGTGACTTGAAAGAAGATACAAAGAAGCAGGTGAATTCAGCCAGGATCTGGTGAGGAAAGTTAGTGACAAAGAGACAAAAGTCAGCAAAGCAGATGAGAAAATCAGCATCAGGAATGAAAACCAGCAAGGAAATTTGCTTATTTTCACATGTATTTTTTTGGGGGTTACCTTTTAGATTTATTTTTGATAGTCGTATACATGTGTAAGTGTATTTTGATGATATTCATTCCAATTACCCTCTGGTGTTCCCCTCCCACTCCTGCTGAGCCCTCTTCCCAGCTAGTCCATCTCCTATTTTCAGGTCTTTTGGGACCCAAAGAGTTTAATTAAGATTGCTTGTATGAGCATGGATGGGAGCTAAAATTGAGATAAAAATAAAAATGTTGGAAATGAAAAACTCAGTGAATCAAATAGAAAGACACAACGGGAAGCATCTCCAATAGACTTGATCAAGTAGAAAAAGAATATCAGGGATGGAGGACAAGATTGACTACTCATTCAAATATCAGTAGAACAAAAATGAATATTATAACGTCCAAGAACCCCGGGACATGATCAGGAGACCAAACCAAAGAATACACAGTATAGAAGGAGCTGAGATAAATACTAAAGGCATAGAATGAAATAACAGCAGAAAAAACCCTCAAATTTATAGTAACAAACATTTAAACACAAGAGGCATTTAGAACTCCAAATAGGCATGACCAGAGAGGAAACTGTTCATGAAATATTGTAGCCCAAATGTCAAAAATACAAAGCAAAGAAGCAATATTAAAAGCCGCAAGAGGAAAAAAATGCTAACTCATCTACAAAGGCAGAAACATCAGACCTCTTGTCAGCAACCCTCAAAGCCAGTAAAGCACGAAATAGGAAAGTAACTGAGTGCTAACCAAAAGTTCTTTATCCAGAAAATGCGACGGACCAGCCCAGACCGGAGCACTCAGTCCAACGGGAACAGGGAATCGGAGAGTGGGCAAGGATTCCGCGAGTGACAGACACAACACAAGAGATGGTTGATGATCTGAATGTAATTTTCTAAAGTGGAGCATCAGATACTAGTCTTTTAAATTGCAAGAAATAAACATTGTCATTCTGAAATGTCAAAAAAAGAAAGAAAAGAAAAACAGTATTTTACTTGGTGGGGGCAGAGGCAGGTGGATCTCTGAGAACAAAGCCAGCCTGATCTACCTAGAAAGTTCTAGGCCAGCTGGGGCTCAAGGAGACCCTGACTCAAAACAACAACAACAACAACAAAAATAATGCAAATTGGCCATGATGGGATAAAATTGTAATCCCAGCCTCTGGAGGCTGGGGGAGGAAGACTGCAAGCTCAATGATAGCCTGTGTTTCTATCCATGTTTCTTATACTGCCTGTAATTATTTAAATATACTTTGCTGTTGACTTGTAGTAAAGGCACCAAGGTGGTCTGGATCTAGCTAACCTATCCATAAACTATAGTGAATACCATGAAACTTTCCTTCTTTGAATATTTACCCATCTATTATTTCCTTCACAAACTCCTGTATGAGGAAGTGGTTCATCAATGGGCTCAGGGATTCTAAATATGGTCTCCTTTCCCTTAAGGGGATGCCATAGCCTACCTCTCCCTAACTCGTAGGCAATTCCTAAGTCTGTCTTAACTAAAGGCAGCAATCTTCTTTCAGTATCCCTTTAATCTCCTTGAGTCAACTCTAGGAACTGAAGCAGGGGGATTATATACAAATAATTCTTCTTTCTGTAACTTATCTAGAATTTTCCAAGGTTGCTTATTCTTAGCTACTTTACTTATTGTTTGAAATAAGAAAAGAGCATTTGGAGGAAGTCTAATATCGGGTAACTGAGTTCCCAGGAAATCATCCGTATCTAGCCTCTCTTTAGGTGGGCCTAATGACCTGCGTAGTCTATGGGGAAAGAACAGGAATGAAGACAGCAATGAAGACAAGAACTAAAGCAGAACAGCCAAGGACACAGCATGCTTTTTAACACAGCCATCTCCAGGAAGCATTCTTCCTTTGAAGTTTTCTCAGCCTCGACCCAGGGAGGTTCCTCATGCGGGCTCCACTGGAGGTGGCGTGACAAGAAAAGCTGCCTTTTAAAACTGATATAGAAATATATATGGGAGTTGGAGAGATGGCGCAGTGGTTATGAGCATTGACTGCTTTTGCAGAGGACCTGGACTTGATTCCCAGCACCCACATGATGTCTAACAAATGTCTGTAACTCCAATTCCGGGGATCTGATGCCCTCTTCTGTCCTACATGGGTATTGCATGACACAGTTACATTTATATACATGCAGGCAATACACTCATACACATAAAAAATAAAAATAATAACTATTAGAAATAAGGATATCCAAGATAAGCAAACATGAAAACAGTTCGTGGCCATCAAGACAGCACTGCAGAAAATACTTAAAGGAGTTCTATATAGAAAGGAGAAAGAGGGGATGGAGAGATTGCTCAGCGGTTAAGAACACTGGCTGTTCTTGCAGAGGACCAGGGCTTGAATCCAGCACCCACATGGCAGCTAACAACTGTCCATAACTCCAGTTCCAGGGGATCCGATGACCTCTTCTATCCTCTGCAGGCATTGCATGACATGGGTGCACTTACATACATGCAGGCAATACACTCCTACCCATAAAATAAAAATAATAAAATTTTAAAAAAAGAAAGGAGGAAGAATATCTCAACCACTAGAGCACAGGAAAGATTAATTTCCTGAGAGGACTAGGTGGACAAAGGAGACCTAGGAGGAATCAGCCATGTCCAACACAGTAAATGACTAGACCCTAGACCCTTGATACCAGTAGGGTAGAAAGTAAAGAAAAAATATCAATCTAGCCAACCAGAAAAACAACAAAATTACAGGAATGAATAAACATCTCTCAGTAATAACCTTGAATATAAATGGCCTCAACTCACCAATAAGGAGATGCAGACCAATGGACAGG